GCTCACTGCCAGTCTTTCCCTAATCTTTGCCACCACCAGGTAGTGGTCAGTATCACAATCTGCTGCCCTGAATGATCGGACATCAAGTATACCTGAGTGCCGTCTCCTGTCTATCAAAATAAGGTCAATTTGATTGTGTATCTTCCTATCAGGAGATGTCCAAATGCATTTATGTATGTTACGATGTGGGAAAATTGTACTTTTGACAGTAAAATTTTTTGATTTGGCAAAGTTTACTATTCCAACTCCATTATCATTACTAATTTCATGCAAACTCTCATTCCCAATCGTTGGTTTGAAAATGTCTTCCTTCCCTACTTTGGCATTGAAATCTCCTAGCAAAGTTTTCATGTGGTAATTCGGGAATTTTTCAAATACATGTTCTAGTTCTTCGTAGAACTTGTCCTTTATATCATCAATTCTAAACGACACCTCCAATTATCTCTTTTGTTGAGTGTTTTTGTTGTCGCTGGAACGTGTCTACGGAGCCGTTGCCTAGCAACTACAAGGGGAATATACATACAGACGAAGGCGCTGATGGGAGGGACTTATAAAGTACGTCATTGAGACGTGCTTACTTGCCATCATATTCATACTAGGTTACATAAAGACTGGCTCGGACATTCAGAATTTGGTGGAGAAATAGACAAAGACACACATACACACAGACAGCAAGGTGATCTCATAAACCTAGTTTTATGTTTTCAAAATAATGGAAGTAATCTAAAAATAAAAAAGTATAAATGTGCATAGAGCGTGTTTAGTGAGAAGAAAGAAAATGAAGCCTCTACTAAGTTTAGTACATTGAAGTTAGGTTTGCTTTATTCCTTTACTGAAGTGATCCCTTGTTGTAGGAAATTGAAGCGTAATTTAAACAACTTATATATATTCATGATAGGGACCAGTGGAGGGTCCTTGTGAACACGATGATGAACTTTCGGGTTCCATAAAATGCTGGGAAATTCTTGAGTAACTGTACAATTGGCAGCTTATCAAGAAGGGCTCAGCTCCAGGTGTGAGTGTGAGTGATCACAGTCAAACTCGAAGTCTTAACTCTTTGATATTTCATTTCTGACCCAGGAACCTACGGCTCATCTTTCTTGTGCAAAAGAACAGGTCTGAAGTCGACTGTTTCAGCATACATACTTTAGCAACCACAAAGTAATGTTCGAGAAAGAAAAAAGAAACAAAAAAGACACAAACTCTGTGGTTTTAGTCCTCTAGCGAACTATACCGACCGAGCGAGGGCCGCTTGTCGAAGTTAGTGCCAACTTTAGCCGATAGAGTTTGTCGCATAGTCAGCGGAACGAATCCCCACGGCCAATAATATTCGATTTTCTAGACTGGAGCCGCTACTCTTCTATTCAAGTAGCTTCTCAATTATCCTTACGAGGCCGAGTGAGCCCCGTTCCAGACCCACTACTTCTCAGAGAATTTGGTAGCGCCGGGATTCGAACCCGGCCTTCTGAATCTGTAGCCAGGAACTCTGACCAATAGACCACAGATGCTGTCCAAAGTAATGTTCGAAGAAAACAAAATTATCGATAAGTATATAAATAAAAATGTAAATGTTTGTTTGTTCAGGATCTTAAATCTCTGAAAGATCTTCATCGATTGCTTCGAAATTTTGACACAACGTTGCATTTGAATGGTCGCGTGTTTTTATATACCTATTATATAGCTGTCACACCTATGACAGGTGAAAACATGCTTCTTTTGAAAAACAGAATTGGAATTTGGAATTCAGAAGAGTCACCCCCATGGAAACGCTAGAACAGACCGTTGCATAGGAAGTAACAATAGCGATACTGTATCGAAACTCCACGGTTACGACGAATACACGGAGCGTTCCCACAGAGACAACGCAGTAACAATGAGTCGCTGCGTAGGAATCGCGGAATCAACAAAGTAGCGTTTCCGCGGTTATGACAAAGGCTCATTTGCATAGCAGCGGCCGAGGGTATAAAAGGGGGTTGAATGCATTCGCCCAGTCAGTCTTGGAATAGCTGCCGCTGAAGAAGGTTGGAACCTAGACGCCAAGAGATACAGAAGTATTGGCCGAGAGATTGTGTAACCAGTAACTCTAATATTGCAAGTGGCGATAATTGTAAAGTGTGCAAGTGAATTAGAATAAAGTTTCGCTATAATTAATACGGCGTAAAGTTATTTGTAGCGTGACATACCCAAACACGCTACATGCATTACTGACGCGTGCAACACGTCACATCCACATCAAATTCGTGCATTGTTTGCAATCATATTGACGGCCTGCTCTCCTTCGTCTCCAACAGAATTATGGGAGAAATATAAATCGCACATGGCTGAAGATATTTCCCGTCGAATACGCCAGGAAAATTCCAATATGAACATGGATTTCACAGCAGAAATTTGCAACGAAGCGTTGATAATGATTGAAGATTTGTGCTTAGAAATCGCGAACAAAGTTCTCAATCAATTGGGAATGCCATCACCGAATCGATCTGCTGCTGCTTCGTTCAATGTAGAATTGCGTCGTGAGCAAAATTACAACACGGGCGATCTTTTGTCGTATGTGCAATCAAATATTCCTAAGCTAACGCTTGAGCAAAAAGGCATTTACGGTCAGATAATGCAAACTGTCAATAACGGGGTTGCAGAATCCTTCTTCTTAGATGCGCCAGGAGGAACTGGTAAAACGTTCCTAATTAGATTGATTCTGGCACCAATTCGATCCCAAAATGACATAGCCTTAGCTCTTGCGCGCCCGGAATAGCTGCGACATTGCTACCGGGTGGAAGAGCTGCTCATTCCGCTTTGAGATTGCCACTGAACATGCAATTCACTGAAACTCCCACGTGCAACACTTCCAAAGCATCAGGCATGGGAAGGGTATTGCACAAATGCAAACTTATTGTTTGGGAAGAATGCACAATGGCGCACAAAAAATCGCTCGAGGCTCTTGATCGATCATTGCAAGATTTGCGTGGAAACATCGGACCACTTGGGAACGCATTAATATTGCTTGCAGGGGATTTCAGGCAAACATTACCTGTAATTCTTCGATCGACACCAACGGACGAAATAAATGCTTGCCTGAAATACTCTACTTTTTGGCGACACGTAAAGACGCTAAAATTAACTACAAATATGCGTTCCCAGCTGCAAAACGATCTATCAGCTGAGATATTCTAACATCAATTGCTGGAAATTTGGAACGGAAAGATACCGGTTGATCTGACCTCAGGACGAATTTCGTTGCCTCATAACTTCTGCAATTTCGTGACGTCAAAAGAAGAATTGGTTGAAAAAGTATTTGCCAATATTCAAACCAATTATAAGAATCACGATTGGCTGAGTGAACGAGCTATTCTTGCGACCAAGAACAAAGACGTCTACGAACTTAATAATATCATTCAGTCTAACAGTCACTGCGAGGCAGTCATATACAAGTCCGTCGACACTGTTGTGGAAGCAGATGAAGCGGTTAATTATCCAACAGAATTTTTGAATTCACTCGATCTGCCACAGCAACGCGTGGCCGGGTACAGCTAGTTTCAAATAAATGTTAAGGTTACTGTCTTCAGGAAAGAGGTAATGTAGTGTGGTACCAACGTTTCAGAAGAACCTGGCTGCCAAAGTAAAAAGGGAGCACATTCCAGAAAGTCGCATCATGTAATAAAACACAGTATAAATAAAAACACCTTCACAGAAGTTGATTTTGCTGTTGGGTCTTTGATCCGTGTGGATGTGGGCAGTGTTGTACGCGTTTCGGGGATATATGTTGCCTCAGTCGTCAGGGTGGAAATTGGAAATGGAAGGATAAAATTAAGTTGGATCCTAAATAAAGAAGAGAGGCCGTTGTGTTCTGAATTCCTTTGACTGAAGGTAACATATATAGGCGGTGAATATGACAATGAATTTACGGTTACCATAAGTGGCAGGGTTTGCATGAGTAATATTGTGAATATTATCGTTTGAAGAAGGGAACTCCTTCATGGATTTAGCTATGGAAGAGTATAAACTGTCGTGGGTACCTGTGACTCTGTTATTACCACTTTCGTAAGGTCGTGGCTGTGAAATGTCGCCCTTTATTAATATAAATACGAAGGAATTTCAGTTCATGAAGTTCTAGACCCTGAGCGACGTTCTCATTATCAATCTCCTTAGAGTGACCCGTTTCATGCCGCTGTTTCATTAGGTAGGTAAGGTAAAGCTATCCCTGTAACAGGCCGTGGAGGCCCATAAGGTTGTGAGAAGTCGAGGTTCCCACATTTTCTGCTCCTAGACATTCGACTCACAGATGGCGGCGAGTTCGCTAGCCTTACCCGCCCGCTGCTTTTTGCCCCTAGGAAGATTCCTGGTACTCATTACTGTTAGAGGATGAATGGATTCCAGGGCCATAGTGGGGCTGGAAGGATTAGGTCAATTGAAAATTCAGTGATCTCATCGGGAATCGAACCCGCAGCCATCCGGCTTGTATCATAATGCCTAGACCAACTACGGTACGGCGTGCTCCTTCGTCAAGTAGAGAATATTGAATTCACTGTAATTTCAAATTACCGGTATATATAGATCTACTGGTTTTTGGAAGGCCCATGAAATAAACGGAGCCCCTGCTTGGAAGATAACCTGCAAACTACGATTTGTAGTTATTTTATAAAGGCAATTTGTTCTTCAACAATTTTAGCAGCCGTTAATTTCGAGACAGATATATCCTTAGAGGAGGAATAAAACTGCAAGAATTTGTTATTATACAATTCTTTATTTTAGTTTTATTGTTGTTATAAACAGATTATATGAAAGTATATTTCGCCTGCAACATGAATGTTTACAGTTTATTCTTATACATATTTTTTGACCCGAAGAAAAAATTAAATTTTCAGATTATTTCACAATATAGATATAGGCCTACTAATTTAAGAAGCAATTTTTATGTTAACATTTTGCTTCCTGATAAAATTGCTAAGCCGAGAGAAAACAATTTCCGCCAACAGACAGGAGATAGAAGTCAATAGACTCACCAGAAGGATAATTAAAATCGGTAAGACATCTTCCAAGGTAGCTTGTGTTCGTGGTAATTCCAGGTCATCATTGTCCGTCAGAGGTAACACCCTGTCTTCCAGCATCTTCAGAATTCCAGCACTTCGTAACATTTCAATGCTGTAATCAGGACAAATAAAATCTTGCGTGATTTGAGGTTTTCGCGACGGTGACTATGAATAATTCCGTCTTCTGGCATATGGCGCCGTGTAGATCTTGTGTAAACTGACGTTTCGGAGCAACTTATCGCCTCAATTTTCAGGGTAAACATCCGCGAGCGGAGAACCAGCGTGAGCAGGTGGCTGCAGATTCTCTGCAGTCCGAAACGTCGGTTCACATAAGATCTACACGGCGCCACATGCCAGAAGACAGCATTCTACAATTAAATTCTTCATTGCATTCCATATGTGCGACCCTATATAATTCTGTGAATGCCGTATACAGCAGGATGCTCCTATCAGCCAATTTCTGAAATGAAATCAGTTTAGACACATCAATTAGCTACAGTGACCAGACTTCCTTTTCATATGCCCCTATCGCCAACAAGTCAAAGATTCTTAGCCCTATTTGGAAATCGGAAATTGTTTCAATTTGTTGGATTTCGGATTCTCACGGTGGTTACTGCTTGTATGATGGAAATGGTCGTCCGATTGTAACACCATATTGTTTGGTAGTATTCTGTCGATGTTTCGGAGGAGCTTCTGACCTCCATCTTCAGGGTCGAACAGTAAACCAAGGAACTTGAAGCCTTCTAGTGCTGGTTTCTCGTTTATCTTACACTTCGACACTGGAGATGGGGCGGTGGGCTCCTCCGAAACGTCGGTGGGTTTCAACCGATCTACATGGAGCTATTACCCTGAAGACTATACTATTTGGTGAAGTGTTCATAAGAACTCGCCGCTGCACCTGTCGTGACCCAGACAGATAGAGTTCACGGCGGTCTAGCGGTAATGCTGCGGGTACAGTTCTAAAGTTGCAACACAACTCAATAAACTTTACTTTTCTTTACTTTACTAAGGGGCACTCGGTAGCGTAGCACTATACTACAAGCCGGAAGGGCACGGGTTCGATCCCCGTTTAGGTCATTGGATTTTTCACTTGACTTAATCCTTCCAGCCGCACTATGGCTATGGGGTTGACTCAGCCTGTAAGAGAAATGAGTACCAGGAACCTTGCTGAGGGTAAAGGGCGGCCGACACGTGAGGCTGACAACCTCACCGCCATTTGTAAGCTGATTGTCTAGAAAATGTAGGAACATCGACGTCTCTGAACCCTATGGGCCTCCATTGCGTGTTACAGGGATTGCTCTTACTTTAATTTACTGTATGCTATAAAATATGTTCGGAGATGCTGAGTTGGAATCTCAACCGAGACACGGACTATATGCACTAAGATTTTTGTGGTTTTTTAGTCGCTCCAGGCAGATGAGAGGATGGTGACTGGATAAAACAGCGACTGCTTCCTTCCATATTCTTTCCCATTCAAATGTCATACTAACACTCGACATAGTTCGGCTACTGACTGACGGACTTCATGCAGATGAGTTAAACAAAAGCAACTATCCTTCGGGGTTCTCACTCACTCACTCATGGAGCTGAGCCCTTCTTGAGAAGCCGCCAGTTGTGAAGCTACTCAAGAATTTCCCAATATTTCATGGAACCTGAAGGTTCATTAACGTGTTTATAAGAACCCTCCATTGATCCCTACCCTTAAGTAGATCAATCTAGTCCATATGGCCCCATACTGTCTCTCCAAGATCCATCTTAATGTTATATATTCAAACCTACATTTGTGTATTCCTATTGAGATGCTCCCTTCTTGCTTTCCCGCCAAAATCGTATACGCAGTAATTTTCTCCTTGTGTCTGCTAAAATCCCTACCCAATCCATCCTTTTGACTTGTTCATTCTAATTATACTTGGAGAAGAGTACAAGTTATGAAGTTCCTCATTATGCAGTTTTCTTCTACCTCCTGCCACTTCATCTCTCTTCGGTCCAAATATTCTCCTCAACATCCTGTTCTCAAACACCCTCTATATTAGTTACTATAGGATTCTGACGATGGTGTATAACACACTGATATGTTGGGTTTTTGGACTTTATCCATCGTCCTGGTTTTTAAGATAACAAAATAAAAACACGAAGTTTCGGAAACTAGATCTGTTTCCGTCCTCAGGTAAAGGAAAACACCTATTCAGTTGGGTCCGTTAGGTGTTTTCCTTTACCTGAGGACGGAAACAGATCCAGTTTCCGAAACGTCGTGTTTTTATTTTGTTATCTTAAAAACCAGGACGATGGATAAAGTCCAAAAACCCAACATATCAGTGTACCCTCTATATTCTTCCCTTAATGTCCAGCTACTGACAGCGTCTTAAAAATGACTAACAAAAATGCAGCAAAACTGGCTATCTGTAAACTGATTAAGTTAACTCACTAATGACTGAAGAGTCGTTTATAAGGGCTGTTCTTAGTGACAATGAATGAGGCTGGCATCCAGAAGAAGGCGCGTGGAACAACCAACAGCTTGCACGTCAGCTCACTGCTATGCATTCTTGCATCATATGAATCAATATTAATCACATATCTACTCTCAACACATGCTTGATGTAGGAGATCCATTTCGCTTTTCGGAAAGCTGTTCTTGTGTGGCAATATGAATCTCTTGTAGATCTGTTTCATCGCAGGGTCTGTTGCTTCCTGCAAGTAGAAGATTGGCTTATATTCGTTGTATGTTACAGACAACCAAATATATTACAAATATATTGTGATATGATTGGCTGAAAGCCGAAATAGTGGAATGAGTCATTGCTAGACAACGACATGCTAAACACGTATCTGACACAATTTTCAGTGTTCAGAGTTACTTTACGACTGGCGGTTCACCGCCAAATAGCTCATCTTGGTGACAAGCCCCTTGAGACGACCAAATTGTTTAAACTGAAGACTTGCGGTTATAGTCCTCATGTAACATCCTCTCTGATGAGAGGATGTGTTTGTCGTTTTCAGTTGTTGCCGGTCCTCACCAACGCAGTAATTCTCAGGTCCGAGTGCCACGGAACTCATGGCCATATTTTGCTGTCTCAGAGTCAAGACTCCCCCAACCTGAAGACCAGGTCCCTGTATTTATATTCCCCAGGAACAGGGTGACCCAGTCATACCCTCAGGCACTGGGTTCCCTTTTCGTCACCTCTCACGACTCGCAGGAGGACGGCGGATATATCCGACCTCGCCTCCACACGGGATTCTCCTTCTATACATGATGCGTAATCAACAACATGAGAACTGTAAAAGCTGTTTTCTGTTTTCTGTGGGGCCCATGTTGAAGTTTTGTGACGGCAACCTGGGGGCGATTTGGTCGACAGTCAGTGACAGGAAGCGGAGGGTCGTCATTGGGGTGAGGAAAGGTTTGAGAAGAGGAGTTAGCTCTTGCAGCTATTGAGAGTTATTGAGAAAAGTGAACAGCGGACAGTTTCTGCGCAGTGTTAACGGAGGAAACCGTGGTTAGTGAATTCACGGCCATTTCCTGTTGTTGCAACCAGTGTGAGTAAAGTCTATGCCTGGTCTAGGGCCTGTGCAGCTCAAGTGCTTTGTGTGTTTCCTGTGCATAATAAACCATTATAGTAATAGAAGTGGTAAGTCATATGATGGATAATGTACCCACCTCAGAATTTCAGAAGCTCTGGTCAAACCTGATTGAATCACTGAGGCTGGAATACGAAAACACTACCCAACAACATCCTGACACCAATGCTGTCATGGGACCTGTACATGGGATTCTCACTACCATTGCCTGCCTAGCGGGATGTACCACCGCATCAGTCAGCGAATGTCCAAAATGGACTCTGATTATCCAAAACATGGAGGGCACCAGGAGGAATCACCCCCGGCTTCTGAAAGGAAAACAGCTGTATAGCGCCCTATATATGCCATGGCTGCAGTCAACTCATCAAGCTGATTCCTCGCTCTCTGATTTTTCTTCCCTGAAGATGGATACGATATGTTCCTCCGAAACGTCTGTTCACACAAGATCTACACAGCATCACTTTCCAGAAGACGACATTCTTCATAGCCACCGCCGTGAAAACCTCAAACCTTACAAAGAAGACGAAAGCGGAAAACTACAGACAAAGCCGACAAAAGAACCAAGAAGTCTGCAACATTCACTACGGGAGTAGGCAACCCCCAACTGCGGTCGCAGCCTCAAGTTCGTTTTCGCCCGACTGAGGTCAATTGAAATGGATGCTGACAAGGGAAATGACGTCAGCGACACCACCGAGCGTCGGCAGTATCATTCGTCATCCAGTCAGGTAGGTAGGCCTCCCAATGTACAAACTTGTCAAGTGAACATGATGCCATTGCAAAGGCAGCTGAAGGGCTTACTGAAAGACAACTTTGATTTGCATAACACCAGAAACGAAAGTAATGGCCGATTTCTAGCCATCCCATCTCACTCCCAGAGCAGAAATCTCCCAAAAGACTCTAAGGTCTGTGATTCGGCATCTACCAGTCTCAGCTAGTGCAGAGGACATCTCCGATTGGTGAACGTTGGTTTCGATGTCATAAGAGTTAATAAATGTCTACCATCCGTCCGTCACCTGCGGAAAGAACAACCACCGTAAACTTTCCCTTCTTCCTAATAACCTTAGCCAGGACGTCGAAGCCCCATGAGATATTCAAATTGACGGGAGCCTGCCGTATTGCAGTCAGGGCAGACATGCACAACAAAGCCCAGACTGGTCTCACGCAGTGTTAAAACTGCCAATAAATCGGTCATGTCTGGGCTAACTGCAATCAGTCACCGCTTTGCATGTGGCAAGGGGCGGGGGTCAACTGGTGCAAAGAAGTAATGTCCGGAAAAGAGCGACACAGCAGCGATACCGACCTGCCGCAACTGCACGTTGGTGGACGAAGAGCATCCTCATCCTCCCAACTATCGAGGCTGCAGGCACGCCAAGGAAGAGGCGTGATACAGAAAGCCACAGAGAGCGCCAAGGCTACAACGGGTAGGGCCTTCTCCAGCCACAGCAACCAAGGGCAATTCTGCTCGGCGGAGCTACACAGCAACAGCCTCAGCCGCCCTCAGTTGCACAGGCTTGTCCAGCTTCCTTGAAGCGCAACCGATGGGTACGAAGTCAGATCAGGCTCCTAATGCAAACAATTCGTCTCTGAACGACATGTTCACAGCAGTTGCAACGATATCATCAGATCGAGACAGGGCTTAGCGGGGCTGAGCTAGAGGTTGACAAGATAATGGTTGTCACAAAAACTGCATAAAAACTCATGAAGCAAAATTGTCTTTAACGTCCATATGCGGTAGATGTGCTGGCGCAGACCAGCAGAAATTATAAACGACAGACTCGTCCTCTCCGCAAATCAACAAATCCGCAACTGTCAGTAATAAAAATATGGTCTTGGGCCCCAGATGGGTGCTTGACACCAAGAGAGATTGACCGACCGACCGTCGGTCATAATATGACTTTGATTTTATTTGGTCAAATTTATTGAAATGATTGTAGTGACTGTGAAGGTCACGCAGTAGAAGGGGATTGACCGGTGGTAGTCAGATACCTCCTTTCGTCGAGGAGTCACTATAATTTTCAAAACACTCAAAAGTCCGGAAAAACAAAAGTATGATGAAGGGTCCCAAAGTCTTCCGAAACCAAGAACGACTGAGATGTCGAGGGCCAACAAGAATTTACTGAACTAGACTAGTGTTACTTGTTGGCTACGACGTGATAAGTGGTCTGAAGGCTCTGAGAGCCTTCAGAGTGTAAATTATGGTCATGAGTCCCTTGGAACACGGAACCAAGAATCACTGTGCTGGCGAGGACCAGCAGAAATTAAGCAGTCATTTAGTAGTGGGAACGTAACGAGCCGGTAACGACGTGAACATGGAAGGAGAGGAATGTTCATTATTAGGAGACATTTCGAAGCAACGACCAGTGAATATAGGTTTTATGTGTGGTGTAGTTACAATGATCTATAGACTGTGTAGATCAGAGAGAGTTCTATAGTCATTTTCGGTTATGAGTTATAAGCTTCTAATAAATTCAGTTATCATTTCAAACCCCTTGCCTAGTTATTAACACATGACAGTTGTCGTATTAACATAAACTACTCTTTCTTACCTTGAATAAACTAATATAGACGGGCCTGTCCGGGACAACCAGCCTGTATGTCCCACTGTCCAGAAGACCTTGGAAGTCCATAAATGGCATCGCATAGCGACTCACGGTAAGAATTGATATGAAGATGGCTGAATATGCGATGAACAAGATTAGAAACATTAGAGAGGCCGTGACGTACACAAGGCGACAAGGCCAGGACTGAGGTGGTCTGTCATGACCTATAGAACAAGAAATAAGCAGTAAGGAGTAGGGCAGCCAGGAAAAGTAATATGTGAACATTTCCTAAACTTATTCATAATATCACAAAATGTTCATGCAATTTAATTAGTTAAAAAATTGGGGAAGCTTGTAATCGCTCAGCTTGTCACGAAATTCCCAGCCATTTATTGCCGTGTTTGTAACATCTTCCTACTGTGTCCTATTCTGAGACGATTGAAGCCAATCCACGCTTTCAGTCGTTCAGTATCGCAATTAACAATTAGTTTTCGTTTTAGTTTGTCGAAATTGTGCGACTGGCTGTAAGCGTAAGTGTGGGGGCGTGAGCCCCTGGTAGGTACACCAAGATGGACGAGTAGTGGCTGGATGAAAGATAGTCCCTGGCCCTCCACTTTGAAAATTGGGTATCACGCTAAAAACTTCAACTTGTAAAACAGTAAAAGTTAAGATACCCAACTAAGGATGCTGGCTTAATAACTGGGGAAACAACTAAAGAAAGTTTGCAAGGAAGTTATATTTTGCTATTTGGAATGTGCTCAAGGAGGGATCTTTAATTGAAGACAGGAGGTAGAAAGAATTTTGTAAGAGTCAAAGTTAGAGCACTAGAACTGAAGAGAGAGAGAGAGAGAGAGACAAAAGGCTGATAATTAAGAAGTGGCATATGTCGTAGAGTGGAAGACACTTAGAAAAGAGCAGAGCAAAAGAATGTGCAGTAAGTAAGTAATTATGTAAATAAATTTTAAATAGTGTAACGTGGACTCCCAAAGCGTTTCTAGGCAACAGCTAGTTAAACACGTTCCCGTGAACGCAACAATGGAAACTGCGTTCACTGTGGGTTAGGTTAGTTAGTTAGTTATTGGAGAGGGTGGGTTTCCCCATGCACTGAGACCTGTATTGGTCCATTGTACTTCCCTCTATGATTTCTACCAGTCTCTATATCCTACCGGTACTGGTGCTTACCATCAGTCCCGCCCAGCCAGTGAGACCGGCTCTACTAGCTGAGAGGTATCTATAATGCTTTCCCCATCTACCAGAGGTATTAGAGACTGCTGTTGGGCGGGAAACGTCCGTTAATTTGGCTCAGTGACCTCCTTTGGAGATATGAGGTTCTTTTATGTGCTACGACACAGGACCCACGGCTTAAAGTCCCTCCCGGAGGACTTGATCCCTAAATTTTTCCGCCCTTAAAAATTCGACGACCTCCGCCGGGTATTTGAACCCGCGTACTACGAGTCATGAGGTGGGAACCTTACCTCTAGATTACGGAGGCCGCTTGTGGGTTAGGTTATAACTAGTTGCTAAGTGAAGAGATACTGCTGATAACAGAGAAGAGTGTTTTCTATGATGATAGGTGATGGTGATTGTGGAGCAACTGGTGGAATGAAGATCGGCAGGGGAAACCGAAGTACTCGGAGAAAACCTGCCCCAGAGCCACTTTTAACTCTACAAATCCCAAATGACCAGATCCGTGTTCGAACCCGGTTCGCCGTTGGAAGCCAGCGACTAACCGCTTGTGGGTTAGGTTATAACTAGTTGCTAAGTGAAGAGATACTGCTGATAACAGAGAAGAGTGTTTTCTATGGTGATAGGTGATGGTGATTGTGGAGCAACTGGTGGAATGAAGATCGGCAGGGGAAACCGAAGTACTCGGAGAAAACCTGCCCCAGAGCCACTTTTAACTCTACAAATCCCAAATGACCAGACCCGTGTTCGAACCCGGTTCGCCGTTGGAAGCCAGCGACTAACCGCTTAAGACATAGCACGGCCTATCATGGATATAAGTAAGCAGTTTAATTGTTTAGTTAAATTTATTTAAAGAAATCTCATATGAGGAAATACCGTTTTCCTTTGTGACTGTTATGAAATATAATTATTTTAGGCATAACTGTTGCATACATGCCCAAATTAAAAGACATCCTCAATCAACAAATATTTTATTCAGTTCGAAAATAGGAAATTTCCTCTTCTCAGCAATTAGTAATGTTACCCTTTCAAAGTAAGCAGTCCCAACAAATTTTGTATTTCGATTCTCGTATTTGCAATGCATATGTAATTTGATTATAATTAAATAAACCGGAAGAATATAAATGTTCATTTACATTTCTATTTACATATTCTGAGACACAACAATATAAAGGGCATACCCTTTATATTGTTGTTTCTTTCCCTCTGTCACATCTGTTGCTGCAGTCGTATCTGCTCATGTGAACAGGACAAGGGTTAGTGAGAATAGTAGGATTCCTGACGAAAATTCGGAGTAGTATTCCTGTCGAAAAATCGGAGAAAGATTCCTATAGAAAATCTGCAGTAGGATTCCTGACGAAAATTCGGTGTAGGAATCCTGCAGCAAATTCACAATAGGATTCCTGTCGAAAAATCGGAGAAAGATTCCTATAGAAAATTCGGAGTAGGATTCCTTTCGAAAATTCGGAGAATAATGCGCTGTACTAACCTCTCTGACACAAGCTTCCAAATATATGAAACCATGAGTTGTATATATTAAAATTCTCTCTTCTTCGATGCGTTCCATAAGGAGAACCGACGTACCAAGTCACAGAGAGAATGACAATTAGCATTAAAGTTACCATCGAGACAACCCACCAAAATTCATAGGAAAATGGTTCCAGTATGTGACTCCAGCTGGAACTACTCGCCACTTCTCGCTTAATGTATGTTGCCATCCTGTGAATAAGAAACATATGCAATTAAAATTAGGAACGTCTGTGAACGTCATACGCCTGAACTAACTAACATTAATCTTGAGAATGGAGACACACTGAGTAAAACCTGGAGTCATTTTTCATGTATCCTTATTCAAAACTGTATTACTCTGCACATGAAGGATCACCATCAAAACCTTTTCATATTTTATTTGATCGCGATAATAGCATTCAGTAATCCTTACAGCCCATATGGTCGCTTCCTTTCTGTCCATGACATTCACCCTGAACATGTTAGCTGCATTGTTTGTCGAAACGGAGGGATTTTAACACACGACGGGGATCGAACCACAAAGCCACATTACATATGTATTCATACGTTATATAGAGTCTGTAAGTCTTTTCAGGCTGCAATGATATGGCAGATTCATTATGACGGATATGAAAATCACATTGACTCGTTTAATTCCTGCAGAACCAGCCCGTCGTTGTACGGTGACACGCGTGTTCTTCTTCTTTGGGTGCGAAACCTCCATAAGCACTGCAAATGTAAGGAAGAAATTCCTCCAAAGGTTTCTTGGCTGTGCATTTCATATAAAGTGCACAACAAATGTTACAAGCTCTTGTAAATACTTTTTTTTTTGTAACAGTTGAAATTTCCCGCCCGGACATTGACGTCAACAGTTCAACACTTCATCCAAACATCATGACTCGACCCCAGAGCTTCATGTTCTGCCTATGCCGCGCCATAGTTCAAGCGGTTAGTCGCTGGCTTCGCACCGCGTCGGCACAGGTTCGAGCCCGGGTCTGGTCAAGTGGGTTTATGGTGGACAAAGTGGCGCTGGGGCAGGTTTTCTCCGAGTACTTCGGTTTCTCCTGCCAATCTTCGTTCCACCAAATTCTCCATCATCATAATCACCCGGGGCAGGCTACAATAGGCCAATCAGTGGCCCATGTGCCGAGCGGACCCAGCTGGACTGCACCCCCCAATATACGAACTTAATTTAAATTGTATTTAATTCATATTCTGGCTATCTATCTATGACTCTACAACCCTTGTAAAGCTTGGACCGTTTTTCATTTTCTTAATCCATACACAGTCAGCAGGACTCCTTGGATGTGGGATCAGCCCGTCTCAAGGCCGCTACCTACACACTGAATAAGCGGCCTCCGTAGTCTAGGGGTAAAGTTCCCACCTCATGACTCAAGGTACGCGGGTTCAAACCCGACGGAGGTCGTGGAATTTTTAATGGCGGAAAAATTCAGGGAACAAGTCCTCCGGGAGGGACTTTAAGCCGTGGGTCCCTTGTCGTAGAATTACGGCACGTAAAAGATCCTCATGTCTCTAGGAGACATCTGAGCCCAAGTAGTTTCCAATGCCTCCGGTAGATGGGGAAGTATCGGGTACCACTGCCAGTAGAGGGGCCGAACTCGCTGGCTGAACGGGGCTGATAGCGAGCACCAGTACCGGAAGGGTATGGCGACTGGTAGAATATCAAAGGCGGACGTACAATAGATCAACAACTGGTCGCAGTGCATGGGGAAACCCACCCCCTTCAATAATGAATGAATGAATACACACTGAATAACACAGAATGAACGCACACGGACATCCATGCCTCTAGTGGGATTCGAACCCACGACCTCAATGTTAGCGGGCGAAGACGGTTCGTGCCTTAGACCGTGAGGCCGGCCACTGTGATCGGTTCATGTTCACACACTAATAGAAAGCGAACGTGAGACAGCCTCAAACATCGTAATATTGTAATGAACTCCATAGCAGTTAATACGACATACGCGTACATTTCCGTGTTGTTACGTCATCTGGGTCTAAAGTTAAGGGGCCACTTAACACAGATATTTTAATATTTTAAGGTTTTGTACACATGAGGCGCAAAGTTGTGTTTTAATAAGTTATATCAATGATAACGGTCTCGTAAGAGCGAAACATGTCGGGGTCTCTGTAACACACAGTCTACTCAGGCAGGTAACTTTCATTTGATTTTGTATCGATAGTAAATCGGGAAATTAATCATATCGATATATCGAATATAACATTGAATAACAAAATTTCGAAATAGAGACATAAGGTGATTTGCTGTCACATTATCTAGGTCTGTTCTACTGTATGCACATCCACGTGATATTTTTGAGGATAAACACGAGTAATATCAATTTTATGTAAAGAGACTAGATTGAGGATTATTTGGAAGTTATTTTGCTTACTTGATTATAAACGCAGCAGATATGAAGTCAAAGTACAGTTGCCGACTGGAGAGCATTACGTATCTGTCAACGCCAACATCCACCTGGTCAGACAGAAGCATTGCTGGTACGTCACGGAAGGAACTGTTACTCGTATTGTAAACGGGACTCTCTTCTCCTGGGCTGTAGAACTCGGACCTAGAGTGGAAATCAGTTGCAATAATTTGCACATTATTTAAATATACATTTAACATCAGATCTACGAATACATAACATTAATATGAGACACTGATATATTGGGTTTTTGGATTTTTTCCATCGTCCTGGTTTTTAAGATAACTAACAAAAACACGACGTTTCGGAAACTGGATCTGTTTCCGTCCTCAGATGAAGGAAAACACCTATTCTGTTGGACCAGTTGGATCACTGGACCAGTGATTGAGGCTAGCTCTTTCTAACGGACCCAACAGAATAGGTGTTTTCCTTCACCTGAGGACGGAAACAGATCCAGTTTCCGAAACGTCGTGTTTTTATTAGTTATCTTAAAAACAGGACGATGGATAAAGTAAAAAATCTCAATATATCAGTGTCTTATACACCATCGTCAGAATCCTATAGTAACTAATATGAGCTTAATAAACTTAAGTTCATATTCATCGCAACGTATTCTAATGTACATTAGAATACGACCCGCATAGAAGAGGACTCTTCCAACAATTCTCCTATTGTTGTGTGTATTTGTTGTCCCGGTACATTCTTACTGAGCCGTTGCCTAGCAACAATAGGAGGGATACACGTACACACACACACACACACACAGACTGAAGGGAGGAATTCACGAAGTAAGTCGTTGAGATGGATTCAAGTGCCATGATATACATACCAGAATATAAAAAAGAAAGATTTGTTCTTGCGTTAAAAATTGATGTAGGGGGGGATACACAGACACAGAGACAACAATGTGTTCTCATAACTCCACTTTTTTCAAAATAACTAAAATAGGATAAAATGACAAATAACAAGGACAATTTTTAATAATAATAGTAACAAAATTTTGTAGCAATTTCTAGTAATTATACTTACTTAAAGTTGAGTTTATTTTCCAAGGCGTTCCATATCTTGTACTCGACCTCACAGAAACTGGTACTCGTGTCGTTAGAGCATTTTGAATTGAGGGCAGCATAGGCCTAAATTCAGTATTAAGAACTTCAGTATATAAATTTCTTTCCAAAACGAAATAAATTTTGTAATTTAAATTAAGAATATGTCCAGTAATTACCTCATCACTTACGCCGACTCGAAGAGATATACCGTGTAGATCTGCCCTCCTCTGTAGTAATGGGGCTGCAGACCATATGAGTCCACTACGGCTGCTCCAGTTGGCCACAGGCTGCTTCTGTAAGCTCCGACTTGGGTGATCCTGATAAATTTCTATAAGAGATAGACTAATTTCCCTGCTCTGGTCCATAGTCAATGGCTGTGTTAGAAAGAACTCACTGTCGTGGGGAATTTTAATATCTGAGAAAAATGTTTCTATAGAAGGAGCAGAGAAAAACAGGAGCCATCGTCCTCTAGACATAATAGACCGGAGCGAAACCTGCAATTACACAAAATATTCTGTAACAAAGAACAAGGTAACATGTATGACTCGCTCTCTTAATAACAAAACAAATACCCTAACACAAGGAAATTATTACGCCCAGCTTTATACTAGGCCGTGGAAGTCCAAATGGTTGTGAGACGTCGAGTCTCCCACATTTTCTCTAAACACTCAGGTTACAGATGGCGATGAAGTTGTAAGCTTTACACACCGGCCGCCCTTTACCCCCAGAAATATTCCTGGTACTTATTTCTTTTAGGGGTCGAGTAGACATCAGGCCCATAATGTGGCCCGAAGTACTAGATCAATTGAAAAATCCCATGACCTCATTGAAAACAAACCCGCGACCTTTCGGCTTGTAACATAGTGCCTCGACAAACTACGATTCCGCGTGCCCACTAAATGAACTCATATGAATTCAGAATGCTATTATGTTACGTATTTATTATTTTGTAGTTGTCATTCACAGAGAAAAGTTTGTTTGAAATGAAGATATTCTATGTATATATTGTGGCAAAACTAAGTCATTGGGAATTATAAAACATTAACATGAGTTTTCATTTACACAAATAATTTGTTTCTAAATGTAGAAGCAGATAAACTAACAACTTCGTTTTTTAACAGCCATAAATTGAGTGATGTTCTGAAGATATGCAGGTTTACCTGTTCGAGATAGGCCCGAGTCGCTTCGTCATTATTTAGCAAGACGTACAGTGCGCTGTTTCCTTGGCAGGTAGCGCCTTCCAAAGTTTTGAGGTTAGTTTCCATAGACACTGCGGCTACCGAGAAGCTGCCTCTTTGTATTAACGTCTTCAAATATAGAACATTTGCAGAACCTGTTATATATTCATTGCAAAATAGCATGCATTATTACAAACACGTAACAATTTTATAGGACACAAATAAGTCAGCATAATGAAAAACAAATTTTGAATTTTAAAGATCAACAATTTACATTCATTTTGGGCTAGGAATTTTGTACACAATTCTTTATCCAAGGTAAACTTGGGAAATACAGTCTTAGATGCACTAAATAAAGGCATTAAATTGAAATTATTCATAATACTGTATTACATAATATTATGTATTTTATTACATATTTATATATTCATTGCAAAATAGCATGCAATATTACAAACATGTAACATTTTATTGGACACAGATCGGCATGATGAAAAATATATTTTGAATTCTAAAGATCAACAATTTATATACGTTAAAGAATTTGTTTATTATTAGGCATTCATTTTGGGCTAGGTATTTGTAAGAAAATTCATTATCCAAAGTAAACTTGGAAAATGAATTTATTTTAATTTAATTTAATTTAATTCATACAATGTTCGTTAAATATATAAAATTCTATTAAAATTATTAAAATGTATACATACTTTGTTATGCTGCTACAAGTTTCGGCCTTATAATGACATCTTCAGTCAACATTTATTTAAGGTTTCTAATTCACTGTACAAGAGCCGAGATAGCTCAGTCGGTACAGCGACTGGCTACGGGCTGGACGTGAGGAGCGGGGATAGCGCAGTCAGTATAGTGACTCGCTACGGGTTGGACGTGAAGAGCCGGGATAGCTCAGTCGGTATAGCGACTGGCTACGGGCTGGACGTCAGGAGCCGGGATAGCGCAGTCAGTATAGTGACTCGCTACGGGTTGGACGTGAAGAGACGGGATAGCTCAGTCGGTATAGCGACTGGCTACTGGCAGGACGTGAGGAGCCAGGATAGCGCAGTCGGCATAGCGACTGGCTAAGGGCTGGACGTGAGGAGCTGTGATAGCGCAGTCGGTATAGCCACTGGCTACGGGCTGGAACTGAGGAGCCGGGATAGCGCAGTCGGTATAGCGACTGGCTACGGGCTGGACGTGAGGAGCCGGGATAGCTCAGTCAATACAGCGACTGGCTACGGGCTGGATGTGAGGAGCCGGGATAGCGCAGTGGGTATAGCGACTGGCTACGGGCTGAACGTCAGGAGCCGGGATATCGCAGTCAGTATAGCGACTGGCTACGGGCTAGACCTGAGGAGCTGGGATAGCGCAGTGGGTATTGCGACTAGCTGCGGGCTGGACGACCAAGGGGTCGGAGTCCCGGTGTTGGCAAGAATTTTCACTTCTCCACGTGGTCCAGACCGGCTCAGGGGTCCACCCAATCTCCTATCTAATGGGTACCGGGGGACCTTTCTCCAGTCAGATTACAGGGATGTGAAGCTGATCACTCAACTTAAGCTATGGCCGATGTCAAGAAAATTTGGGTCCATATATCCACTCCCCCAGAATTCCTGATGACGTAGTGCTTCATTAGTTAAGCACAGGGACAAATTTACCTTTAATTCACTGTACTCTAATCATCTAGTATTCTTAAGATATGTCGTTGATGTTCCTTCTAATATTTTCTCTCTTCTTGATTTGCAGCTGTTTCTATTTCATATGTTGTTTTCCGTTGCGTTGCCCTGCGTTCCTTGTATTTAAAGTACTCTTTAGTCTCTTAAGGTAAGGATAGCAGAAAAATAAATAAGACAGCGAGTAACTGGTCAAGTATTTATACAATTACGCCCTTAAAGTGCAGTAGAAACTGTAAGCACTTCCTCCTTAAAATTGAAGGATACTGAATTTTCCTGGCAGGATATAAAATCTAGTTATGTGTTCGTATGATTCTCGAAAGAAGACGATACCATTTCCCGAGTCAGCATAACTGGTTGGTCCTTGTAAAGGAGATGCAACATGTTTTTCTGCAAGAATGAGACTCATAGGAGAATAGTGTTTAGACGAATTGTAGGCCTCCTTTGGCTAACCAACTGCACTGCTATTCCTGTGCGTGTGTCCTGTATATACTGGTACATATAATTATACTTCAGAAGTCGATTTCTCATTTATTCAAGTCCGGGAATTTGCGAGTATAACAATTGTGTTCCTATATCCTCTGATTCTTCTGAAATATATGTCATCAATATTTAATTCCTTAAAATTTGATCATTTTTCCTCAGAAGTATAAAGCCACTTAAATCTACTCAGATTACAATGTTCAGTTCCTTGGAACTGAACCCTTCTTGAGAAGCCGCGAGTTGTGCAGTTATTCAAGTATTTCCTAAAATTTTATGGAACCCGTAGGTTCCTTGCCATGTTCACAAGAGCATTCCATTTGCCCCTATCCTGAGCCTGATGAATCCAGGCCATATCAGCCCAACATATCACTCTAAGATCCACCTTAATATTACCCTGCGCATAGTTCTTAGCCGTCTCTTTTCTCTTGGATTTCCCACCCAAACCCTACACGCATTCTGCTTCTCCCCTTGCGTGTTACATGCGTTGCCCATTTCATCGTCCTTAACTTGATTATTCTAATTATACTTGGAGAAAAGTACAATTTATGAAGCGCCTCATTATGCAGTTTTATCCAACATTCTCTCACTTGATCCATCTTCGGTCCAAATATTCTCCTCAGCACTCTATTCTCAAAAACCCTCAGTCTGTGTACCTCTCTTGTCAGAGACCACTTTCTACACCCATACATAACTACAGACAAGATTATAGCACTGTGTTTTCTAATCTTTAAGTCTGTAGACAGCAGGCGAGAAGACAAAATGTTCTGGACTGAATGGTAACAATCATTACAGGAACTGAGTTCTTAATTTTCTCGTGAAGAACATTTTCAATGGTTACTGTCGTCCCTAACCACGAGGGATATTCGAAGAGTAAAGACACAAAGTTCAGACCACATTTGTAAAGCATTCATTTTTTGCATTCCTTTGTAGCAATTTCACAGGACACATTTATTTACTTTTCAGCATAGTCGCCATGGATCGCAATGAACTTAGTGAGCCTGGGAGCGAGTTTCTTCATTCCAGCGTCCTAGAAATCACTCGCCTGCTCTCTTAGGCATGGAGAACAGTTCTTGACACTTCTGGGCATTGTTGATGCAGTTCATCGATGGTTACACGTCTGTCAGCAAGAATGTTTTCATCAGTCTTTTTGGATGATTTCATCAGTGACAACGGATGGCCTTCATCATGAACTTCACTTCTTCCCACTTCAAATTCACCACTCCATTTTTCCACGTTTTGCCTGTTCATAACATCTTCGCCGTAAACAGGAACAAGATGGCGTTGAATTTCAGCAGCAGTTTCTCCTTTCGCATGAAGAAATCGAATTACTGCACGAACATCACATTTGGCGGGATTTTGAAAAGACACGGCCATTTTAAACGCACACTGCGAGCATACCGTTGCCGTGACAGTGGCTTGTGAACTCAGCCCTGTCATACGGTTCCTATCTCACACGGCAGCACTGCCATTTCTGAAAAATAAAGATCTCTTGCAGTTTTACTGGACTTGTATCTTTACTTCCCGAAGGATCTATTAACTTATTCTACTAAAATGTAGAGCTTTCCATTTTAAACTATGGCTTGATTCTTTAAAATTTAAGGTGTAGTAAAGTGTCTTTAGTTTAAATTGTCTGCGATATATTTTCTATTCCAGTTGCATTATTTTCTAAAGTCGTTTGCCAATGTGCTGATAGAAGTGTGTAACTCTGCGCCATTAATTCTGCTAGCACTCTGATACTGACCTTGGTGATGCGCAGAATGTAGCAAGGTGACACAAGTAGAATGGTGATGTTTCAGTACACTTACAGTTACACTAACGTATGTGTTTAAGGGATTCTGCTAGCACTCTGATACTGACCTTGGTGATGCGCAGAATGTAGCAAGGTGACACAAGTAGAATGGTGATGTTTCAGTACACTTACAGTTACACTAACGCATGTGAGGGATTCTGCTAGCACTATGATACTGACCTTGGTGATGCGCAGAATGTAGCAAGGTGACACAAGTAGAATGGTGATGTTTCAGTACACTTACAGTTACACTAACGCATGTGTTTAAGGAATACTGGAAATCTCCTACTTGGATGATACAGAAAATAAATAAAATTCTCATCATAAGTATTTCAAATTTAGCTGCTTGTGTATTCAAAATTCCGAAGTGTGAAATATTATCTCATTTCGAACAGGTCTATCTTTATTTTCTGTGGTGTTACCAGGAGGTACAACACGTGCCTCACGATCCACACGCTGCTTGTGTTCCACTGACACGGCTGCTTAAATACACTCTCATATCGCCCTCTCATTTCAGTTGGGAATGAAACTCTTCACCTCGCCACATTGTTGTGCTAGATACGCAGTATTAATGTGTCATTACAGTCATTGCATGCCCCACCATAATTTCAGATGTCTGAGATAAACATACAAGCTGTGTGTGTTGCATGCAAATGTCTATAGATAATTGTTCATGAAACTGATACCTTGTTAAAATCCCAGATAGGCCTATTTTGCCTCTGAGTTTCTAACTTCGGTGGACATTGGGTCTGCCTCTGCCTGATACTTACTCGTTTCTTGCTTAGCTTAACCTTCGACCTTGAGGATGGATGCGGTATGTTTCTCTGAAACGTCGATTGACTTTCATCGAACTGCAAGTAGTTGTATGCTAGAAGATATATATCTCCAGATGTCCGGACGAAATGTATCCAAAAATAAAAACTATATATCTCGGAAACTAATTGCCATACACGTATCCGGTTGACGTCGTCGGGAAGGAAAATTCTGAAAGTTTTTTTTTCATACCCAGCTTGCGCATGCGCCTCCATATTTCTGCCACCATGTTAGGAATCACGTGGACAGAGAGATGTCTTGGATATGAACTGGCAGAGGAGGACCAATCGCTTGGCCTCCTACATCGCCATCTTTAACCCCAGTGGATTTGTTCTTGTGGGGTTATGTGAAGACTATTGTCCACCAGGTTAAGATCAAAGACCTTCAACGCCTGAAAGAACGCATAAGGGACGCTGTGGCTGCGGTAATACCAAACATACTTCAAGTATGGATATTTGTCGTGCCACCAAGGGAAACCACAATTAAATTTATTGAGAAAGTTATATAAAAAAAGCTTTGATAATTTATCTTTGTAATGGCGTAACCCATTAATGTGTATAATAAATTCTTTCTGAGATATAATGCTTTTGTTTTGGATACCTTCCATTCGGACACTCTGTATTTGAATGTCTCCATTGTCGCTTAAATACATTTCAGAAATTATTGAGAGCAGCGGAGGGTTTAGAGGTTCCAGTAACTTCGTCTTTACTTTATCAGTGGTCCCTCCACATTCCTCACATACAACGGTTTTAATTCTTCTATAACCAAATGGGAGGGAACCATAGTTCTTTAGAAACATTTTAAACACTACAGTTTATAAAGTAGAGACTCTCTGTTAAAGAAATCAATTTGTTTTTTAAAATACACTTGAGAATTAAAGAAAAATAAGTTACTGATAAAGAAAATAATATAAAACAATAACACAATTACAGTAATTCATGTTGGTTTTATTCTACTGCCATGTTTAATGACGTGTGCAATACAATTATAAATTCTTGTCACAATTCGCATCCCGCTGTTATAGGACTTTCACTTGCATTAAATTATTTTATTATATTCCTATGTTACTTTCTCATACTCACTAACCCCGTAGAGACAAGTTCATTAAGAGATGCTGCAAGTCGCTCAGCCGCTCAAGAATTTCCCAACATTTTATGAAATCCAGAGGCTCGCCACCGTGTTCACAACAGCCCTACACTGGTTCCTATTCTGAGCCAATTAAATCCAGTCCACACCCTCCCATACTCTTTCTCTAAGATCAATATACAGCCTAGTTTCATTTTTTTTAAGAAATAAAAAGAGGCTTATGAGATCACTTTGTTGTTTGTTTCTCTGTGTATCCGGCTTTGTCCATCTTATCATCTGGCCGTGTCTGTCCATCTGTATGTGTACTCCCCCTTAAATTTTAGGCTTATGAAACTTATGACCTAACGTTTCTCTCTGTGTATCCCCCCTAACTTTTCGTTTCTATGCCGTACGTGTCGTATAAAAAGAAAGTAGGCGACCAGTTCTTCCCAGAATTTCTTGTAATATTAATGTTCCCACAAAGGTAATGCAAACTTGTCCCTGTACTTAACTATTTAAGCACTATGCCATGATCGCGTATGGGGGAGTGGATGTATAGATTCCTATTTTCTCGACCTCGGCACTAGTTGGAGGTGAGTGGTCATTTTCACGCCCCGGCCGCTTAATCCCCGGGGAAAAAGTCCCCAGTACCCATTGGATAAGGGGCTGGTTGGGCCCCAGAGCCGGTCTAGACGACGTGGAAAACAGATAATTCTTGAGCCTACCGAGACTCGAACTGCGACCCCACCTACGTCCAGCCTGTAGCCAGTCGCTATACCGACTGAGCTATCCCGGCATCATTAACTTTCCCATAGAGTACCAAATTTATTGTGATTTTCTGCATTAAAATTAACAATTAGTTTCGTACTAAGAAGTCTTTAATTGGGTTCTTACACCGTTTGGTTATAGGTGAAGTTGCCGGAGTTTCCGAGGCACATATAGCCTCCTTCTTCAGGGTCTATCCTAAGGATGGAACAGATTTTACTTCCGAAACGTCGGCAACATCGCCTACAACCGGATGGTGCAACAACTGAAGTACAGAATTAACATCAACAGTGCTCCACTGTGAATGCGTAAAATCAGTAACGAATTTCAAGGTACTTTAGTGTGAAAAAGGAATTATAGGACTAAATATTTGTTCCCTGAAATAAAGTCTACACCAAAAAATTATGATTTCGGCCATCAGACAGAAGACAGAAGCTAGAACACCAATCATAACAATGACTGAAATCGGTGCAGTGTCTTCAAACGAGGCCCGCGTATCGTCAGGTTCCGCTTCTCTGGTCACGAATTTCGTGGAGGCGCCGAGCTTCATCAGGATCCCAGTTTCTCGTAACACTTCAATGCTGTAATCAGAAAAGGCATACACAGTGTAATCACTACGCTTACACAAGAGCGCACTGGTTCTCCGCGCTGTGCCCAATGTCACACGCTATATACGTGTACGTCCACGTGTTTCGACCTGCCTGCAGCGGAATTTGTGAAAGTTGGACCAATGTGCATAAAATTACATTATCTATGTTACAGAAAGTTATAGAAAAGTCTTAGCTGGGAATTTACTATGTTCTATGACTTGTATACAATTGTAATTTTGAGTCATACTATGACGAACATGATCGTTTCTAGGCAACTGCTCGGTAAACACATTCCCGAAGTTACGCTCACAAAAATAAGATATCCGTTGCTAGGTAGCAGACCAATAAACACGCATTCCAGGGCAACAGAAGACGATGTTTTCCGTGGGGTCCGTGTCAAGGAATTATAAGAGGGCGCAGTTAGAATAATTGAAGTAATACAAAGAAGTAGTTCATTTGGAAATGAAAATAGTTCCAGTGGAGTGCCCAGTCGGAAGAAAGACACTGTTTCCGATAGAGATTTATGAACTATTGTAACCAGTTGCATAAAGGTTCAGTAAATCCGAATATCAAATCCAAACACCCGTCTTATTACTCAAGAAAACCGCCGGATACGTAATACATTGGTGTCAGAAGTCTTAAAACCATCCGGCATATAGAGTACTTTAACTGTATTTGATCCGAAACACTATATTTTCTGTTCTACTTAATCAGACGCCTAATCCTCATTCTTAATAACAAATTATTATTATTATTATTATTATTATTATTATTATTATTATTATTATTATCTTGACCAGTGTTATATCTTTCGGTAACCGACACCACTTATTTGTGTTTGGTTCGCTTTGACTGAATGTCTTCTATATAACATATTAAAGTTTAGTTCATACCTGACAGGAAATTCATTACGTCTCCGTTACAAAGATCTACTGGATAACGCTATTTTCTCAAGTTAATTTGAATGAGTGACCATTTTGTTATTGAAAACTTCTACGGATGGGTAAGGTAAAGATATCCCTGTAACAGGTCATGAGGGCGCATAGGGTTGTAAGACGTCGAGGGTTCTACATTATGTAGACAATCGGCTCACAGATGGCAGTAAATCTGTCAGCCTTACACGCCTTCGCCCTTCACCCCCCCCCAAAGGAACATTCCTGGTACTTATTTCTATTAGAAGCTGAGTCGGCCGCAGGGCCATAATGCGACTCGAAGGATTAGGTCAATTGAAAAATCTACCTCATCAGGACTCGAACCCGTGACCTTCCGGCTTGTAGCATAGAGCCTCAACCAACTACGCTACCGCGACGGAACTCCTAATAAAGTTATTAAATATAACGTTAAAAAGACTAAAACACAAATAAGGAAGGATTATAACAAATAAATGAACGGAAATGAAAGGAACTTACAGAAATACAGGGGGGGGGGGGGCCAAAGAAATGTACCCACTCNTAATCAATATCTTTGGAACAAAATGACATGTAGTTACAATTCTTGAGCGGTAGTGTAGTGTAATGTTTTCTCAACAGAAGGCCAAGATCACATGAGTCACGTGAGTGTCGTACCGTGTGCGCGCTGCGAGGAGAAGACAGCAGCAACAATGGCTAAAAGGTTGTCCTTTGAGAAACGCAAGGCTGTATTGAAGTGGTACTGGAAGTACGAAAACATTAAAGAGGTACAACGACAATGGCAGAATGAGTTTGGAACTCAGCCACCAACACGTCGAACAAGGAAGTGGATCTACAGAGTGTTAATGTGTGGTGTGGTCTGT